TACACAAAACCAAGCATCATATGACTCTGCTAATTATAGCAACACTTCTCTTTCCAGCCTTTATTCTGGGGTTGCCTTATCAGTTGCATTAACTTTAATTATTTAATTTCTTAAAGCTTTATTAGATTATTTTTTCAAATTTCTTTTTAATTACGAAGTAGCAGAAAGCAAACTTCTAAGTTTCCTCCTCTTTAGCACCATAGCTGAGACCCTCAATCAGGGTGCAATCTTGACAGGATCATCTTTAAAATGAAGGGGTGGTCTTGGTGCAGGTGAGGAGAATATAAAGATTCTATCAGGAATTTCCCAGGGATCAAATATGGCTTGGGAAACTGTCTTTGTATTTAACCAGACATCATTTTGAAGCTTTACAAATGAATGATCACAACAGCGATGAAAAACACATCTCCGGGTTTCACATTCGCTTTTCCTGGCTCCCCATTTGGTAAATCCCTAAATTATCTTTTCCTGCAAAGAGTGGCATGTTGTCTTCATTAAGGCCAACAACTTATTTTCACAACTTCAGGTGGTCCCTGAAAGCTGAGGTTGGATGTCATGCTATTGAAACAGGCAAAATATTAGCATAAGAGCAGATTATTCAGCAGTTATTCTCTGAAGCAAAATATGAATCAGTCAGAATTGAATGAATTACTCGGGCAACAACTAAGCTGATTATTCTGGAGTGTTTGGTCGCAGCTGTTCAGAAATTAACACTGACATGTCATGAAGTAATTGCTCCTGAAAAGTCTTGTCTCTTCTTCTTTTCCCCTCATTTGAATAACAACTTCAATGTTACAACTTATTAACAAGAGCTCAATACAACCAGCAAAGATAAGTTTTATTCAAAATGTGAGGAATATTATTGTGTGGCTTTTTAAAGTACGTGATATGGAAATTTCCTTCTATTACACACACATACACACTTCAATCTAATACAAAAGAATATTTTTTTTAATGCATTGGATTTTTTCCTTCCTTCCTTCCTTCCTTCCTTCTTTCCTTCCTTCCTTCCTTCCTTCCTTCCTTCCTTCCTTCCTTCATTCATTCATTCATTCATTCTATACCTTCTTTAAAAAAGAAGACATAGCAAACTTTATAAAATTTGTACTTGTATTGATAAAGAAGCATACACAAATAATATGCAAATCTAACTTTTATTTTGTCCTCCTCTTTGATAATTCAAGCGTTGTAAGTAACCCTGGGGAACATTTCAAAAGGCAGCGTATATGTTTTAAATAAATTAATCAGTAGGAGTGACACAAGCCCTAAAGGATAAATGCTTCTAAAGCATTTCCTAAAACATATTTATTATCTTTGTTGACTGCTGCTTTAGTTCAAATTTCTTTGTAAAAAAAAACAGGGGTCTTACTGGATAGTAGTGCTGTGCATCACTTTGGAATCAGAAGGAAAGAGATGCCAAAAAATCACATGGGGATTTACATCATTCAATGGGGCTGCAGCTTTTCTGCAGATAGTAGATAATAGATCTTTCCTTCATAGCTGTCAATTTTTTAGCTGGTGGGGTGTGATGCTAGTTCTCCTCCTCATGGTGTACCCTGGATAGTATGGTAGTGTGAACCAAACGACTAGCAACAATTGGCAGCTAGACTACATTGAAGAATTGGCAGTTAACGACAGTTGGCAGTCAGACATCTTTGTAGAACTCCTGGCTCTCTAAATACATGGCAATGGGTAAACAAAATGGGCCTTCTAAAGCCCCAAGGGTGAAAAAGTACTCAATTACCATCAAGAAAGCATTCTCAGCCTTTTGACGGTCAGCTCCATCATACTCTGAATTCACCCACCCTGGACATTAACATCTGAACTACTATTAAGTCCATGTATTTGCCATACGCTAAATAGATTTTAGCTGGTGTTGGCTTTTGTAACATCATGTTTTTCCCAAGAACTGCCCATAGTTTTGTTTGTTTGTTTGTTTGTTTTTAATTTGATTTATATGCCGCCCTTCTCCGAAGACTCAGGGCGGCTTACAATGTGCTCAGCAATAGCCTTCATCCTTTTGTATATTTATACAAAGTCAGCTTATTGCCCCCACAAACTGGGTCCTCATTTCACCTACCTTAGAAAGGATGGAAGGCTGAGTCAACCTTGAGCCTTGGCGAGATTCGAACCCTGCAGTAATTGCAGGCAGCTGGTCTTAATAACCAGCTTAATAACAGGGTGCCTTAAACCCTTGTACTACAAAGGCTCTTGGTTAAATAGTTGCTGCAACAATGAGATGGGTGACATATAAATTTAATATATAAATAAATATCAAAGATGTATTGGGGTAGTATATGTGCAGATCCAAGCAATGTGACTTTTTGTCATTGACAAATGGAAATTTTGTCAGTGTGCAGCTTTTTAAAGTGCTGTTCAAGATTCCTTTTTCTTCTTCTGTGTCTAGATTGTGCCAGAATGACGCCACCTTCTTGGCTTTGTCATTGGCAAAAATAAGTCATTATCAGCACATGTTTCTGGTAGTAGCTGACATACCAGCAGATGGGCAGGGCTCTGTGTCTCTTCACATTCACATTCACATGTTGTTATCCACTAAGAGTCTCCACTTGAGCATATTGATTTTACATGTAGGCACTCCAAGTCTCAACCTATTCAGGGTCCTCCAAGTAGTATAAGAGTGACCAGCATATCCTCCTTTAATGTTATTCCTTGCTCAATGGTCACCTTCCACTATCTTTTAATTCAATTTTGTTCTTGTATAACTTCAGGAATGTTTGTTCTTGCCATAAAGATGTTCGTGATCTGAGGGTTCAGAATCAGTTTCAAATCTGCAGGTTTGGAGCATATGTCTGTTCGGATTTTTTGGTATGACACCCAATAACCACTGAGACCACCAGAGCCAGTTTATGTCATAGTCTTTCAACTTCCATTTTCAGATCTTAATACTTTGGGATCTTCTTTTATTATTATCAAGTCAACTTTTAACCAGTGAGACGCTAGCTCCATTGTGACATCACAAACTGAATCCAAGGAAAAACTCAGCTTCCAACTTTCATTACAAATGGATGGTCAAATAAACACCGATGTGGGTAGCAGATTTTGCAGGGGGAAAATGAAGTCATAAAATCTGCCCATCTCTCTTCATTTTGGCTTACCCATAGGAAAGAATCCTAGGATCATTACCATTATCATTAGGGGTGGAGAATTGCGGTGGGTGGGAGTGTGTTTGGGGATTGTTATGTGTGTTGGACCTGGTCTTTGGGTGTTAAGTGAATTTTGTTGTATGGGTATACTGTGTATACACATACAATGACAATAAAGTTATTTATTTATTTTTATGGATCTCATTGGTTCACTTTTTCATTCATCATCAGTAGCTAGGATGGGCTAGATAATTTAATAAGAAAAGAAAACATACCTTTAATAAATATTGGAGGGTCCAGAGGGTCCCTTCAAGTCAATGTTGACTCCTGGCAACTACCTGGAGGACTAGTCACTGTAATTTTCTTCACAAGAGTTTTTGGAAGTGGTGTGCCTCCTTACTTATTAGTGAGAGAGTATGACTGGCTCAAGGCCACCCAGCTGATCACAGTTTTCTTGTTTCTAGCCTGAAGTTTTAAACCACTACACCAAATAGTCATGTGGCTGGCATGACTATATGCTGAAGTGCATGGAATACTGTTACCTTTTGACTGGAGTGGTACTTATTAATCTACTTGCATTTGCATTGAACTGCTAGGTTGGCAGGAGTTGAGACAAGAAATGGGAGCTCACCCATTACATGAAACTCGGGTTTTGAAACTGGGCTGTCAACTCTCCAGCTGAAGCTCAGCATCTTTAACCGCTGAGCCATCACACCCCCTCTAACAACACTACTGAATGAATATTCTACATCCCTACCTTTAAGACTTCTTCGATGTTTCTGAAAGCAGTTTAACCTTGAAAATATTGCTGACCTCATGGGAAAAAAATAAAAGAAAATAATAAGTGGTTTACTTAGAAAGCAGTAATTAATTTTCCACAGAGAGTGAAATCATTTGGCCTAAAGCGAAATCCTTCTGACATTATTAAATGTCACAGTGCAGTTAAAGCACAATTATTAACTAATTCACACAATAAATCTCATTAGTTTCTAGAGGCCGTAGGAATAAAGGAGAAAGTGCTATACTTGAATTTCATCTCAGCTTTATATGATGTAAAAGGTACATCATATGTATATTCATATATAAGTTTGTATATGTATTCACATTCCTATATAGTTTACAGGCTATGTACATATGATTATACATGACTGGTCATTTTTATGGTAGAGAAGCCAACTGGTGAAAAATCATGAATGGAATAACATAAGTAGCAGCTTTGTCTTTTTTTACCCTCTATTATTGTCATTATTATTAAGCCAAACATTCTTAGAAAATAATTGACACTAATAGCACTGCCAAAAACTTTGAAATTTCTATATACTGGCTACTGCCTCAGATAGTTCCATCCACCCAATCCAATCCTTTACATTCATGTCACACTTAAGGCAGAATTTGGTAATACAATGCAAATAAGCACAAACTCTTAGATCATTATTAGTTTCACAAGTAAATTTTGCACAATTACAAGGTCAGCCCACTTTTATGATCTCATGAGATTTGGATTAATTAAAAAAAAAAACATGGGGGCCCAAACAAACTATCTTGTAAGATAGCATGAAGGTGCCTGGAAATTGAGAATGGAACTAATGCAAAGGACTAAAACATTCAAATGCATGAAGTGAACATGAATTGTTCATTATCTGAGGTTCATTTAAGTTGCTGTCTTGCAGCTGAATTTTTTATAAGCTATCCCTCCCCCATCCTGGGAGATAATTGGTCATGACCGGAAGCACGATAAGCTTTATGAAGCATCAGACAGTCATTGTTCCAGCCAACCAATCAGGTTCTTAAGGGAGACTTTCATTTGAATGCTTATAGGTATATAAGAACTTTCCTGGGTAAAAGCATTTTAAAGAAGAAGTTAGGCAGCTCATCTAAGTAAACTGAAACTAAACTATGGCTGCCATTAGCAAAAGAAAAAGGAGAAACCAAAGATCACCTACAAGGAAGAACCCCCGAAAACAGATCAGAGGGAGAAAGACCCAGGCCAAACGTGGGAGAAAGACAAAATCAAGACAAGTTGCGAAATACGTGAAGAAAAACTCAAGAAAAAAGAATCCCTACAAACATAAGGAATTGCCCTTAACCAAAAAGGCTAGAGGAATCCTTAGTTCTTGCGTGGAAGGACTCTGCGAGGCAATATCCTCTGAAGCTGACCGCTTGAGGAAGGAAAAATGTGAACCCCAAATTAGCCACAAAGTTCTGCTAACTGCCTTGGAAAAGTCTTTGTCAAAGAAAAACATCAGGCACTCAGTGACCCCAGAAGTCAAGAAAATAAAAAGGAAGAGACAGCCTTCTGTTGAGGTTGGCAAAAAGGGGTCTAACCTCTCTGAACAGCAAGCTGAGCCAAACCAGAAACTCCCAAAGCAACGCAAGCAACCAAGTTCCCCAATTACTGAATGAGGGTTCATTAAAAAAAAAAAATTCTCCCTTCATTTCCAGGAAACAATAAGAAAAGAAAAAAAAAGAAAGAAATCAGAACAAGATGGAAGGGAGAAAACCAACCTCATGCTTGTCTTTCAAATGTGATAACTCCATTGTATGGTATTGCCTAGAGATGTCAACTTTATGATCCCTTGACTGGAAGCAGAGCCATCAATATTTGGAGGATATTCTTTAAAAAAAACTTCTTGTGACAAATCAGATGCCAGATTATGAATGAATGCTCCAATTGAATGGTGAGACACTCATTCACGAGAAGAGCAATCAATGATATCTGAGCCATTTGGCAAATAATGTCTTTAAAATATCTCTCAAGGGCAATAAAAATCTTCATCTTGGCAATCAAATCCAACAACTATTTCAATAGCAGTTTCTTGACTTTGGATTTACACATTATTGGGGAAAATGTGGAGAGAGAATATCTTGCGAGCATGCATCACATTGAAACCAATTAATAATACTGATTTAGTTCATGTCTTACAATCCTCAGGTATGCAGTCTTTTGACACAAGCAAAAGGTTTGATTATAAAATTACTGCTCAATTATTCTTTTCAACTATTTTCATCACTTTAGCATTAGGAGTGAATATTCTGAGTTTACTAACACTATGTAAAATGCTAGTAAAGAAGGTACATATTTTTGAGTTCTCAAAAGTACTTCACCAGTGAAGATATTACAAAAGTAGTCCTAATGGGGAATTCAAAAAATTAAAATCAAATAGTTTATGGTCTGTTGGGTTCTTTTAGGTTCTCTTTGTTTCTTTTTTTCGTGCAGATGCTTCATTACCTGGTTGGGTTACATTCCCCATACACTGATGAAGTTACCTAGCCTGATAATAAAATATCTCCAAGAAAAGCTAGCTCAGTTAACACTAAGAACCAAATAATTCAACCCTGAGTTACATATTATCTACAATTGTAGCTCATGGTCTGTAGTTCAACATCAGTTTATGGAGAAAGGTTTAACAGATTAACAGAGTTGGAAAGGACCTTGTAGGTCATTTTGTCCAACCTCCCGCCCAAGCAGGAGACCCTACATCATTTCTGACAAATGGCAGTCCAATCTCTTCTTGAAAGTCTCCAGTGATGAAGCTCCCACAACTTCTGAAGGAAGCTTCTGTTCCATTGGTTGATTGTTCTCACTGTCAGAAAATTTCTCCTTATTTCTAGGTTGAAAATCTCCTTGATCAATTTCCATCCATTATTCCTTGTCTGGCCTTCAGGTGCTTTAGAAAATAGCTTGACCCCATCCTCTCTGAGGCAGCCCCTCAAATACTGGAACACTGCTAACATGTCTCCCCTGGTCCTTCTCTTCATTAGACTAGTCATGCCCAGTTACTCTAACCGTTCATCATATATTTTAGCCTCCAATCCCCTAATCCTGGTTTTTTGTTTTTTTTTATTTGATTTATATGCTGCCCTTCTCCGGAGACTCAGGGCGGCTTACAATGCGTTAAGCAATAGCCTTCATACTTTTGTATATTTTTACAAAGTCAGCTTATTGCCCCCACAAACTGGGTCCTCAATTTACCTATCTTAGAAAGGATGGAAGGCTGACTCAACCTTGAGCCTGGCAAGATTCGAACTTACTAATTGTAGACAGCTGGAGTTAAATTGCAATGCATTAGTCTGCTGAGCTATCCAGGCTCAGGTTGCTCTTCTCTGCATTTTTTCTAGAGTCTCAACATCCTTTTTATAGTGTGGTGACCAAAACTAGATGCAGTATCACTAAGGATTGCTACATGAAGATAACGCAGATAGTTGTTCACCCAGTTAAAATTAGTGCCTTATTCATGTCCACCATCACCTTGGCTTGGCAAAACATATAAATAAACTTAGACTCATTCTATGACCAATGATTTGGTTTGGTTCTACTACATATAAAATTAATTAATCCAAACTATGAAGAAGTCCCTACTGATCTATCTCCACTTGAGAGTAGTGCCAGATCTATACTACTGGGCTAGGCCTATACTACTATCTCAGAGTTATTTTATTTTATGCCATTCTGTGATTGATGTGTCTGGAGAGAATTGTGATCAATTGTACAGCATTCCACACCTGGAAGGACTTGATCACTAACCAAGAAAAACAGCAGAAGGAATTATTTAAAGCATATTGCATAGTCCTGTCAAAATCAATCTTGGAAAGAGCTAAATTTGCAGTGCCATGGCAGACTGATGTGCACTTAAAGGAGATGGCAGATTGAGAGTCCTCAGGTGTTTGGTTTCCATCTGATCTGATAACCCCTTTCTTAGCATTTGTACACACTAAATGAGGAGGAGAGACATAAAGCTTCCCTTGTCCATTTTTTTAAAAAGTGCTAAATAAATAGGAAAATTTCAAGAAAACAGTATGTAGAAACTTTCTCATCCTTGTAGTTGCAGCTGTCAGTTCCAGTAAGCACACCAGGAATATAGTGTTATCTAACTTGTGATCGATAAATTTATTGCCGTTCTTTAAAATGTTAAATTGTTCTCTTTCAGTGAAAATGAAGAGGACAACATAATTTCATACCTACCAGCTTAAAGTTTAAATTGGTTGAGTTTGATGCACTATAGGATTTCACTCTGAAGCTTTATGATACTCAGGCCGAAAATTCTGAAACATTCTGCTTTCTTAGTCAGATATACAGATATTAATAGTAATAGTACTTAGACTTATATACCACTTTACAGTGTTTTACAGCCCTCTCTAAGCTGTTTATAGAGTCAGCCTCTTGCCTCCAACAATCTGGGTCCTCATTTTACTCACCTCGGAAGGATGGAAGGCTGAGTCAACCTTGAGCCTGGTGAGATTTGAACTGCCAAATTGCAGGCAGCCGGCAGTCCGCAGAAGTAGCCTGCAGTACTGCACTCATAACAATTGCGCCACCACGGCTCATAATTGAGCCCAAAATGTCTGTTGTTTAATGAGACATTTGTAAAGTGAGTTTTGCCTCATTTTATGACTTTTCTTTCCATTGTTGTTAAGTGAATCACTGCAGCTGTTAAATTAGTAACCCGGTTGTTAAGTGAGTCTGGCCTCTCCATTGACTTTGCTTGGCAGAAGGTTACAAAAAAGGATCACATGACCCCACTGCAACCACCATAAAAATGAGCCAGTTGCCAAGTATCTGAATTTTGATCATACGACCGTGGGAATGCTGCAGTAGTTGTAAGTGTGAAAAACAGTCATAAGCCCCTTTTTTCATTGCTGTTGTAACTTCAAACGATCCCTAAACAGACTGTTGTAGGTTGAGGACTACCTGTATTGGAATGTTTCTGAAAGTTTGCAAAAAAAAAAAAAAACCTCTTAGGTTAGTGAAAGTCATGATCAACAGTAATATATTTTTATAGAAATTTTTTAAAAACCATTTTTTGGACAGCCAAATAAACCAGACTTATACCAATTTGCATATCCCTATCTCCAGTATTACATTTTGAGAAATAGAAGAGGACAAAGTTCATTACATTTTGACATTGAACACAGAGCAGAAGTGGATCCTTTCCTGTTGTGGATATTTTTTGAAACGGTACCAACCTGGCAAATGGCAGTGGGAGGAAAAACATTGCTTTTACAGATTTCATTTAATGGTACTGAAAATGGTTCTTGTAAGATACATAATAACGCTACTTTAAAACAAGTTGTTATTTACGATTGCCCTTTTGTAAATATCATGTTTTGGGGATCCAGCTGCTTCACAAAAATGACAACTCCTCCCAATCAATCACTTTTCCCTGTTGGAAATGCTTTCCCAAGTCTCATAGGTGGTCCTGCAATTTAGCAATTTTAATAAATAACATTCCCAATGGTACACTTCTCAGACAAGGAGAAAACAATTTGAAAATGTAACTCTCTGATCACGGAAAGCTTCTTTTGATTCATAATGAGCTGTCAAGATTTTGCAGCACATAATAAAACTACAGTAAGGCTATTCATTTGGCAGAAGAAAACATGAGCTTCCCAGTAGAGAAGGAAGACGCTACCAGGATGACAATTCAATAAAGACAGGCTTTAATCCCGTTATTGATCTGTTTTACAATGGCAATGGAAAAAAGATTGCTTTGGTTAATAAATCCTGTGGGATCTTCCAACTTAGAGCCAGTGTAGTTCTGATTACAATAGGGTGAGGTCAACAAATGTAGTTAGCTTTCTCCATTGTGCTCTCCTACATAATGAAACATGAGGATGGGTGCTATTTATGGATAATGCATATAATTGGCCTGATCCATCCACCAAATCTTAGAATAGAATATAATTCTTTATTGGCCAAGTGCGATTGGACAACAAGGAATTTGTCTTTGGTGCATATGCTCTCAGTGTACATAAAAAGAAAAACAGAATACATTCATCAAGAATCATAAGATACAACATTTAATGATAGTCATAGGTTACTAAATAAGCAGTCAAATCTTATTAGGAAACAAATAAAACAATATAAATTGTAAAGATACAAACAACAAGGTTATAGTCATAAGTGGGAGGAGATAGGTAATAGGAAGGATGAGAAGAAGAAGAATAATTAGTAAATAGTTTGACAGTGTTGTGGGAATTAGTTGTTTAGCAGGGTGATAGCATTCGGGGAAAATTTGTCCTTGTGTTTAGTTGTTCTGGTGTGCATTCCCCTATAGCGTCGTTTTGAGGGTAGAAGTTGAAACAATTCATGTCCAGGATGTGAGGGGTCTGTAGATATTTTCACAGCCCTCTTTTTGACTCGTGCAATATACAGGTTCTTCAATGAAAGGCAGGTAGGTAGCAATTGTTTTTGCTGCATCAGGTTGAAGAAGCTGAGGCACTCAAAACACAGCTGAATTATACTTCCCAGATACATTCACCCATAAAGTCGATGAGGAATGCTGGGAACGAATGATCAAAAAGATAAGACCTAGGGCTGCATGACTATCAAATTGAAATATTACAACTCTATCATAAAAGGTTAGTTGCTTCCCACAGGTTAATATCACTAGATAATATCACTA